AGTCAGAGATGGATGGATAGATGGATAGATAGGTAGGTAGGTAGGTAGGTAGGTAGGTAGGTAGGTAGGTAGATAGAGAGGGAAAGAGAGAGAAATATAGTAGGTAGATAGGGAGAGGGGGGAGAGAGAGAGAGAGAGAGAGAGAGAGAGAGAGAGAATAGGTAGGTAGGTATGTAGGTAGGTAGGTAGATAGAGAGGGAAAGAGAGAGAAATATAGTAGGTAGATAGGGAGAGGGGGGGAGAAATACAGTAGGTAGGTAGGGAGAGAGAGAGAGTAGGTAGGTAGATAGGTAGGTAGATGTTTCCAGGTATATTTATCCATGTGCTAGAGAAGGAAATCGCTGACCTAACCTGCAGCACCTAAGACTTGTTTCTGCTGGCACAGCACTTGATCAATGTAATTCTCATCAATCACTCAAACTAAAAAGCTTTCTGAAAGGAAAAAAAAAGGTTTTGCACTCTGCAAACCTTTCCAAATAAAAGGCATGAATAGCCTTGGCAGAGGGGAGGGGGCTTGCAGAATGCTCGGGATGGGAACGAGCAAAAAATGACCCATTTTTCACAAAAATGGGCCCATTCTTTGTCAAAAAATTGCATGCATAGCCTTATGGAGGCTTATAGAGTGCTGCTGGGGGCTGGGGGGGGGGGAGAGGCACATTTTGGCTCATTTCTGCCCTCCCCAGCCAATAGCAGCTCTCTAAAAACCTCCATAAGGCTATGCATGGCCATTTTGGTGAAGGGACGGGGCTTCGAGAGGCAAAAAAATGCTGCATTCGATGTATAAGACGCACCCAGATTTTCAGCCTCTTTTTTGAGGAAAAAAGGTCCGTCTTATAATCTGAAAAATACGGTATTTTTTATTAATATTTGTTAATACATTTATAAGGCTGTACAATAATATCAACATCATCAAACAGCGGAACTGTAAATTGTTAATATTTCCCCTCTCCCAACTCTGTTTTGAAATCAAAAGCTGCTTCGCTGCATTGTCTAGAACCTGTAAATATCTCTACTCTAGTATGACTGTTGTGAAAGCTGTTTTTAGCTTATTTGGTTAGGGTTCAAAGAAATACAGTAATTCAGAACTACTTTAAAGAGCTACAAAAGCCACTTAGAGAGGAACCAAAGACAAAATGTTTACAACGTGCAGAAATGTTTTGGCTGGTAGACTGCTGCAAGCCATTCAGGCCAAAACCAGCTAAAACTGTTAGTCTTTTCAAGTATCATCGTTCAAAAGTTTTATTTCTTTTAAAACAAACATTTCATCATTCCTCAATCAGTAAGACATCGGAGTACAATTTTTTGTGTGTCAAAATAGTTCTAGTTTACCACCAAATTCTTGTCTAACTTTTCAAGTATCACAAGCTCTGTTTTTTAAAATTGCAGTGAATTCATAGAGCTTTTCATAGAAAGCTTGCCTACAGTAGACTCTTGATGCTTACTTTCTTAAAAAATAAAATTCTTTCTGATATGCAAGAAAAAAAGAATCTGTCAAATGCCTGCAGAACCTGCAGATATCCTTCATAGAGAGCAGAGGTTCGTGTCTACCTCCATCCTCCCTCTGGCCACAGATCACTGACACTTAGCGACTGCCACAATAATTAATCGCTGCCTTGAGTTTCTATTTATTTATATCCTGCTTATATTATTTTTATCAACAACTCAAGGCAGCAAACATATCTAACACTCCCTCCTCTTTCTTATTTTCCCCACAAATCCTCTGTGAAGTGAGTTGGGTTGAGAGAGTGCCAGTTACCCAGCCGGTTTTCATGCCTACCGCTGGACTAGAAATCAGTGTCTCCTGGTTTCTAGGTCAGAGAATGTAGAAGAATTAAAGCCAGGGCAGAAAGCAACAAACTAGTACACTTTCCATTCAAAGACTGATTTGCCAGCTTTGAGTAGACAAAAAATTCCAGCATTTAAAGCAGACTCCAAGCCAAGGTAATCTATATTTTGCACCAAAGAGGAATATTCTTTAAAAAAAAAAATTATATCACTACAAATTAAGTGTGTACAGTATTCCCAATATTTTTTTATTTTCCCGCCCAGAGATTCCCTAGTCAATATCAACATAGTTTAGTTTATTTGTCCTTTTCCAACATGTCAAGGCAGACATATACAGAATTCTGCATAAATTACAGAAGGATATTCCGCGCTATAAAAATTCTTATCAAATTATATTCACTTCATCTTTTTGGTACCCTGTCTCCAAACCAATACTTGGAAGTTTAAATAAATTATCTTGGCTTTAACCAAGCATATAGGGGAGGTACCTGTTTCACATCTATTCACTGTTTTGTCTCAATACTTGAATTTTGCTACTGCATTATTTAGCAAACATGGCTTTGATCAGGCATTCTGTTTTCACTGTTTTTTTCACCTGTTTTGGCTGCCAGAGACACTGCAGGCCAGTCCTTTGCTATTTCCAGGCCAGCACCACGGGCCACATTTAAGCACCCCATGAGCCGGATTCGGCCCGCAGGCCTTGAGTTTTACACCCCTTATCTATACTAACGACTCTTTTGAGAATTTCGGACTGAAACCTCTGCGTTAGATATGAAGCATTGGATCTTCTGGCACAAATCACAGCCCAAAAAACTACACCTTTCCTCTTATTCTGAAAAGATCAGAACCATTCTTTAGAAGCCAACAGTTGAGACTGTTGGGATTATGGGATGGAGAGAAATGGATATACTTGTAGTGGTTTGATGACTGCCAGCCGGAGACAGGCTTTGAGGAACAGGAGGTCTCTGTTCTGACCTAGGCTTCCCGGAGAAAGTATAAATCACACTCTTAGTCCCAAAAAAACCCTCTTTTATTTGTAATGATTCACAAATAGTCTATTAAGAATCCCACAGATGTCTGCTCAAGTTGCTACAGTCTTTCAGGGTAAAGTTGAAAAGCACGCACTTTTATCTCCCTTGAAACACTGTCAGAGACCTAATTGCCAATTAGTTTTGCAAGGCCAAACTTAGCACAGAGTCAAACGGAACTGTTAACTTCTCAGAGCTTGAACCGACCTGCAAAGGCTCATCTCCATTTGCTCCTCTTTTATGTCTTGGGGGTGGGGTGGGGAATCATCTCCAAGCCTTACTCCTGAGTCGCCCCTTTTTTCTCAATTGTTCTTGCCTTGTTCTTGCACACAGTGGGAGCAGGCTCACACTATTCTTCTGCCTTGCTGATGTCAGACTCCGGAGGCAGCACATCACTACCAGATGTCCCTGGCCCCCTTCTCTGCCTCAGGCGCAGAGCCCTCGTCCAAGCCTTCCCCAGACTTCAGGACTGGCCCATGTTCCTCCCCAACCTCCTCGCTGTCCGACTCTGCTGGCGGCTCTGCAGGCCGCCGGTGGACCACAACAGCCTCAGAGCCAGATACAGAGCAGGGCCCATCTAGAGACAGCTATTTTCGGGGCCTGAGCTCAGCGAGGAGGAGGAAGAGCTGGGCCCTGTCCCAGATGTGCAGAGAAGTGAGGAGAGAAGACAGGACTGAGGGCCAGCTATCCAGGAAAACAAGGAGACGTTAACAAGCCCCTTGTATTCCTGCCTTTCTAAATAAAAGGGGGTTTCTCTTCACAAGTAGGCTGTTGAGTGGGGCTCGTGAAGGCTGGGTCAGAACAAGACTATACTTGATCATTTTATCTGTGAGCAATATGTTTAATTAGTTCTCATAATATTTTCAGATTACCATTTTATTATCGCTTCTAAATATTTGCTCTATAAACTGCAGGTTTTGTGTCCGGTGGTACACATAATTAAAATCAAGATATGGTAACATCAAAGAGCTGTAATATCACAATTTCTCATCTTTCTGGTGACTGCATAGCTTGAACCTTGAAAAAACTAACAAGAGCCTATTATTAATTTGCCAAAGAAAACCTAGAACCCA